TCAGTAGTTAATTATATATTTTTCTTTTCTCCTTGCTAATAAAACTTCTTAAACTACTTTTCTTGCATTTATTTCATCGAGAAAGATACGCAGTGTTTTAAAGTGTCCACTTTTGCAGGGTCTAATAAGATCCCTCTAACTAGTGCCCTCTGGCGATACGCGAGCGAGTTATAAAGCAAAAACGATAACAAAATACATTAATATATACGTGTTAATTTAAAAAGAGCGCGTTGCATCATTCATTACATACATCTCTGTAATTCTTCATATATCTCCAATAATTTCGTGTGTTAAACCAATTCAAATTTATTCCTATGCATTCTTTTAATGTATTACTTTTACACATCAAAAACTATAAGAGAACCGTTCGTATTTCGTTCATTCAAAACTTTTCTTTTAATGCAATATAACACACGCAGAAAGACGATGTTATTAATTCGGTTATAAAATATGCGAAAGATTAATCCAAAGTTCATCCGTGATTGAAATAATTAGAATCCAGAGAGAACACGGAACCAACGAATTAATTCCCAGTCGAAAATGTTACAATCACTGTGCAACCCCCTCCCCTCCCTCGATGAAAATCTGGATTAGATAAAGCTCGCCCACCACTAGTAAGACGCAGCTGGTGTCGACCTATGAAAACGATTGATCGCGCCTTTGTGCCCCGCTGGAACTTGCACAAGGGGGATTTTAGAATTGCTAATCGTTCCAGGAACCGCTTTCACGCCGAGCAAACTCGCTCGCCCCGTGTGTGGATACGAATACCTACCCGATAAGGGGTTGTAAAAACTCACCTAACAGATCCCACTCGCCGTTAGTGATGAAACTGCTGATGTCACCTCCGGCTTCGTCTTGCAGTTGCAGGTCCAACTGTTGAAAATTTATTACGGCCGATTAGGGGAGAGTTATTGTGACCGCAGTGCGCAACAGTTTGCGCGCGGGGATGATTTTCGAGGAAATGGATTTGATTTATTTTTTAAGGTAATTTTAAAAGTAAATTCATGTAATCGAAATATAAAGGTTTCTCCATTTCGAAATGGAAAAACTTTAGATGTTATATCGATGTTAAATCGGATATAAATTTTTATTATATATGGGAAAAGAAAATTCTGTATTTCGATTAAATAATTTTTATACGCGCATGAAAAATTAATTTCTTAATTAGAAATACGAAAAAGCGTCTAATTTAAATATATAGATTTTATAAATTATATATATAAATTAAATATACATTTTCCTCGAACATATCTTTGAATAAAAATATTTCTAACTAAGATTTCATGATGAATTGTCGGACAAATTTCATCGTACATATCCCTCTGTTTATTATAATTTTGTTAAAGATAGATAAAATAGGCGTATTAAGCAAGACGTGGCAAAATTAATTGCCTGTCGAACACGATGCACTACATAAAGTTATTTCGATATCGATCGGCGTTCCACGTCAGAAAAAGTAAAGGGGAATGATCGATAAGGGGAAGCTGTTTTATCTCTCTTTCTCTCTCTCGAGGGTTGTGCATCAAATCGAATGTAGTCTAGGAAAGCGTCGTATATTCCCTCTCCCCCCTATTACCACTCCAACCCCTTCGCTACTTCGTTCTGCTTATTGTCCTCCTTAATGAACCCTCAAGCATTCTCGAATTCCGTCGCACCGTGTAATTCGCATCCTCAATTTTAATTATTCAGAATGATCTCGCAGACGACAAATGAAGATAGGCCGAACGTTCTCAATGCTATTGCACGGCAAATTGTAAACATTCCATCCTTTATTGCATTCTGCCAAATTTCAATTTCAAATTTTATTTTAAATATGGACGTATAGATATCGTTCAATAATTAAGAGAGAAAAAAAACGAAAAGTAAGTTATTAATAATAATTTTTAACGAAAAATTTATCTTCGTTATCTTTATAAATTATATCGTATCTTTATAAATTTATTATTAAATCGGAATCATAGATGGCTTCACTTATTTCGAAGGAAAGATTATACAAATATGAATATATTTTGACATCAGGAATCAAATAAATTCGTTTCAAATAAAATCGTTCGTTTTAAAAAAAGGAATCTTATTTCAGAGAAAAGGTTATCGCAAATATTGCACGTTTGACAATTTATTTAACGATGAAGAAAATCGTGAAAAGAGTAACGGATAAGTGAGGGTTAAAAAAAATGTGTCCAATGTTGTCGCGTAATTTTCAACATTTTCCAGCAATCAACACGAAGGTATTAACGTCGAAGAAAATTTGGCTCAGTCCATCCGGCCATTGTGTTAACCTTGCTGGAACAGCAAGCGAGAAACTGCATTTACTGTGAATTCTCCGCACGCCGCGTTGTCGCGTTTATTGTTACGCGAAATTCACCTTTCTACGAATCACGAAATTTTCACGACCTCTCTTGGAAATAATGTTTTACGGAAACGCCCCCCTCTCCCCCCTACATTTACATTACTGCTAAAAAGACCGTGAGCGCGGACACACTTTAACGAAATTAACGGTTTATGAGATTAAACGGGGAGGGTTCCCCCTTGAAAAGGTACATTTCGATTCTTTAAATCCCATTCACTTCGTATTATACGTAATTGCTGCATACGTAAATTTCGTCGTCGATGAAAGTTTATGTAACCGGGTAAATTAAATCGGGGGAACTCGGTCTTGATAGATTGAAACAAAGGGGATAATCGGTTTAAAACTCGACTTATTATATTTAAATTATTCTTTCCTTTATATTGCGTACGTGTAGAATTTATATTCGAGAACATTGTGTAAAAGAATTCGTCGAAGTCGCATCGATGGAAGGGAAAAAGGAAACACATAGGGATATATTATGTGAATTCTTGAAGAACAGGATTAATTGTAAATTGAAAGTGATAATAATTTGAAAAATTTGTGTTAGGAATTGAAAGATATTTTGTAAAATATATATAAGTTTGAAGATATTCTGAAAATCGAAAGAAAATCGAGACATGTGGAAAATTGTCGAAAAATTGAAAGAATAAAGATTGTTGACAGCGATGAATGCAGGTAAATTCACTTTCAATCAATCGAATATTGCTGGAGTAACCAATATTTTCTAGCAAACAGAGTATAATTGAAAAGTTTGACAACCTTCTCAAAAATTCCATTTTCATAATTTTCTTATCTTGCTCCATTGCAAAAGTGAGAAAGAGGAAGACGAGAACTTACGAGATGATTAAAGAATATTCAAATTTTCTCATATAATTAAAATAGAATGCATTAATCATAAGAATTAGACTTAATATCATTTTAATATCATGAAAAATTAATACTTGAAAAATAAATAAATAAAAATAAATAAAATAATAAATAATAAATAAAATAAGTATTTGAATATCTCGAAGATTTGATTGTAAAATAATCATCGAGTAAAATTATCGAATAAAATTCAATTTTAAATTTTCTTTACGATTTCTCAAATACGAAACTTTCATATTTTACGCATTTTGAATTTTCAGAATTTAAAGAAATGGAATGCAAATAAATTAAATTTGTTAAAGGAAACAATAAAATATAAATATCAAAGAGAAACTATAAGACAAGAAAATCAAATAAATCACCAATAGTGTCATACGATTCTCACGTATATCAAATCCTATATATCATACATGTTTTCAAGAAAAAAAATCATTCTCACAATTTAAATGAGTAAATTTATCGAACTTCAATTACAACAAGTTTTAATTGTTTAGAATAAAGAGAACTACTTTTCTTTTCAAACTTATCCCAAACAACATCCTTTCCTTCAACATGATAATCTTCCTCTCTCTATCAAAGATAGTAGTAAATCACGAGTCCAACTTAAGCACAAGACTTAACTCCATAACCTGAACTATTAAATAAAATCTCGCCATTAAAGGATCTCAAATGATACACATACATACATATATATATTTAATTTCCATTAAATCGACTGCTCTTTCAACGTTTCAAAGTAAAAACCATCCGAGTTAAAGCAGCGAGATACTTGGAAAAGCGTGGCATCTCGACCGTAGCCGAGGGAATTTTTAAACGCATGGCAAACGGAATGGCAGAAGAAACGGATCTGTGCCGACCCATTTACCACCCCCTACCTACCTGAAAGCCGTCGTACGTCCAGGAGCCGAATTTCATCTCGCAGCGTTGATCGTCAAAGGGGAACCAGGTAATGTCTATCTTGCAAGTGCTCTTGAATATGCCGGGCGGCACGTATAAGCAGGTCCCATTGTTCTTCACAACGACGTTCGTCGGATAAGTGCCGTCGAACCCTTCGTCCGCGCTGTAACCAACCATTATTTCACGTTAAACGAGGTTTGATTGGTTTTCTCGACGAACGGCAAATAGACCGTTCTTCGACCTATATCGATTCTTAAGTTATTAGGTTTTAGGGATTTAATTCATAACCCGGGCACAGTTCTCAGTTCGTTTCTTTTTTTTTTCTTTTTTTTTTTTTTTTTTTAAGATGTTT